CGTGTCTGCATATTGCGTTGCCTAACAATGTGGTTATCTTACGTACGGACTGCAAATTTTTACGTTTATATCGTTAGCAACAGACCTCAGATGAGCCCAGACGCTCTGCGGCTCTTGTTTGGATAGTAATTTTCAAAAATGTTGTAATCCAATAAATACTTTAAATATGCAATAATAGCATTGAAAATTATTAATATATGTAATGTAATTATTATATAAAACATGAAAACAGATTCACAGATATGCACAGACAAGTACACTGCAGACGTATTGTCCAGACGCATTGTCTGGTTCACTTGATACAATGTATACACATCACAGTTATGATCAACATCGGCCACGCTTACGCTTGCGCTTGCAAATATGATATGCCTGCTGTATAACGCTAATGTGGCATAGTAAGGGTGCCTGAGCCCGCTCAGATGCGCTGCCGTATAAAGTTGATAATTCAACAACCACTGTCCCGATTTTGACGATTTTTTTTTACTATCCCGGCGGGATACCAAGCATTGAAATCTGGTATCCAACACACGAATCTACTATCCCGCGGATATCGGGATACCGCTAATTTCGACCCCTGACACGTATGCCATTAACTCTGTCTTATGCGATCAAGTCCACATCGGCAACTTATAACACATTTCTGTCGTTCTATCCAATAGCGTTGTCCCTTCCCCTACTAAAATACTGGCTAATTTCAACTTGCATTAGTGATAATAGGAAACAAATGCAGATATTCGCTGCGCAACAAGAATATATGGTGCAACAATAAATGGCGTATATATGTATAAATCAATGCAAGAGTACAGAGCAGCGTGTGAGATACGAAGGCGCGCCGAGCGACGCACACACCTGGAAGAATTAGCGTGGGTTTAATCAGATGTTGCTTGTCTATTCACGGCGTTGGCTATGACCACTGTATGCCCCCCCCCTCGACGCTAGACTGGTACCCGGTCGCACCTCTGGGCTTAGTTAGTCGATGAGTAATCGACGTGGGAGCGAGTAGCAGTCTAACCCTTACGCGCGCCCTGCGACACAGATGTGCGCAGCAAGCATTGCTAGAAGAGGGGGCGGGGGCGAATTGACATGCACATGACCACATGGCCGCGAGAGGGCAGTAGGCAACAATGAACAGCAATGGCGGACTTAGATACAATAATGTAACCCAACAAAAGTAGGGTTACAACTCGTCCCTATCCTTTTTTGTGGAGGAACCTCTGAGTGATTCACTCAGGGCGGTTTTATGGTTCGTTTTTCGAGACTACAACTTCTAAACTGGGTTAATTATTCTAAACACGAACCTTTCTCTGCTATCTGGGGACTTACTATGTATCACAATACTCTGTATTAAACTAATATAACCTGTTACAAAAATTCGAAGTGACGAGCGGCGAATATACTGAGTGCCATTTCTGTTGACCTGTGACGTACTTCGGTTTGAAGAGCGGATTCACCGACCAATCGGAGGGCGCTGCGTTTGCCGATCGCTAGGCGCATTGGGAATGCGTACGTCACAGGTCAACAGAAATGGCGCTCAGTATATTCGCCGCTCGTCACTTCGAATTTTTGTAACAGGTTATATTAGTTTAATACAGAGTATTGTGATACATAGTAAGTTCCAAGATAGCGGAGAAAGGTTTGTGTTGAGAATAAACCCAGTTTGGAAGTTCTAGTCTCTGAAAACGCACCAGCAAACCGCCCTGAGTGATTCACTCATGGGTTCCTCCACACAAAAGGATAGGGACGCGTTGTAACCCTACTCTTGTTGGGTTACATTATTGTATCAATGGCGGACTGTTTCTGATTTCATTTATGAGTTTCCAAAAAAGCGAGGAATATCAACGGATTTCGAGGTAATTTACTGCTAAGAGAAAGTAGTATCAGTGCGTAAATGCGGCGCGCAAATACGCAGATCGATTTGAGGGCCGTAGCACAGGAAGATCACGGGAAATTCTCGCGCGTAGCAATGGTGAGAAACAGTCAGAAACGGGCTAGTAGTGTCTGTTAAAGGGCGTTTTTTCCACACTTCCTGTAAAGTAACATAATGTTTCTCGGTCGAAATGAACAAAGAACACCTTGAAGAACACCCCTGTCGATTTTAAAGGGGCTAACCCCAGATTTACGCAAATGACATGGGTCTCAATCTGGACATCATCTCTATCCTTGAACCATGCATGTGTATCATAATAGTACTAGTAAACAGAGCTAGTAGTACGATAATAAATATAATAAAATACAGCGTTACAACTGCTAGAGTTGAAATATAGAGCATGGACGTACGATGTAAACAAGCATACATGTACATACTAACGCCACGATAAAAAAAAATCGATAAATCTGTGTTAAATCGTCAATGTAACAATGGTAAACATGATGTAATATAATATTAATAGGAGTATATGTAATAGTCATATTGTTAGATTCTGAGATTACGAGTATTAAACAGTCGTTTTGCTTTACCCCATTATTTTCCTTATATTTGTGTTTTTCTCTCTCTCTCTCTCTCTCTCTCTCTCTCTCTCTCTCTCTCTCTCTCTCTCTCTCTCTCTCTCTCTCTCTCTCTCTCTCTCTCTCTCTCTCGACTCTCGCTCTCGCTCTCTCTCTCTCTCTCTCTCTCCTCTCTCTCTTTCACTGATATCTTTGTTTTGATTTGTTTTCTCCTCTCTCTCTCTCTCTTTCGCTTTGCTCTTTCTTTCGCCTCTCTCTCTCTCTCTCTCTCTCTCCCTCCCCGCCCCCCTCTCTTCTCTCTCTTCGCTGGACTTTCCTCTCTCTCTTAGCTGTCTTCTCTCTTTTTTCTCTCACTGTCTCTGTCTTCTCTCTCTCTCTCTTTCTCTCTTCTTCTCTCTCTCTTTCTCTCTCTCTCTTACCTTCTCACACTGTCTCTCTCTCTCCGCTGCGGAGAATTGAAACATTAACCGAACAACGACAGAAGCACACACAGAGAATGTTAATGAACTCACGCACGCGGGGTTGACGACAGGACAGTGAAATTGTCGTGAACAACAGTGGACCACAGTTATTTGAAGTTCTCTACAAATCGAGATTGGAAGACGTTGGAATGGTCATTAAATAACAACCAATAATCATAGTATCACTTATACAATGGATTCATGTGGTTTACGCTAGAATCATGTGAAAACATTTAAGCTTTTAAGACGTGTTGACAATGTTAATCGTAAACAATAACTGTGGAAGTTCTAAAAACAATCGTGGAGTTCTTCCGCATCGAACGTGAGTGCCCCCTCGGTGACAGCAGCGGTCTATTGTTGTTCCGCAGGTTTTCCGTTGGCATTGGGAATAAGATCTGTGTCGCCATGGATCCGCCCGAACTCCCGCGGCAAGGCAACGATTGGGAGGCTGCTAGCCTTCCGCTGATGAAACGTAGACAGGTGCAGGCAAGTCATGCTGTGGATCTCTCTATCTCTCGCTTCTTATCTCTCTTACTTGTCTCTCTCTTGTTGTCTCTCTGATTCTCTTACTGTCTCTCTCTTGTTGTCTCTCTATCTCTCTGTCTCTCTCTCTCTCTCGCTGTCTCACTCTCTCTCTCTCTCACTCTCTATCTCTTTTCTTCTCTATCTCTCTCTCTCTCGCTGTCTCTCTCTCACTCTCTATCTCTCTCTTTCTGTCTCTCTGTCTATTTCTCACTGTCTCTGTCTTTCGCTCCTCTCTTCTCTCTCTTCTCTCTCTCTCTCTCTCTTCTCTCTCTCTCTTCATTCTCTTCTCTCTCTCTCTGCTCTCTCTCTGCGTTCTCTCTTGTCTCTCTCTGTCTGCTCTGTCCGCTCTCCTCTTCTCTCTCGGCCTGGATTCTCCCTGTCTCACTCTAACTTCTAACGCCTCCTCTCTTTCATCACCTCTCCTCTCTCTTCTCTCTACTCTTTCTCTCTCTCTCATTCTAACTCTCCTCTTTTTCTCTCTCTCTCTTCTCTCTCTTCTACTTCTCTCTCTCTCCTTCTGCATTCTCTCCTCTCTTCTCTGCTCGTTCTCTCTGTCTCTCTCGTGTCTGTATGTCTCTCTCTGCTCTTCTCTTCTCTTCGCGTGTCTCTGTCTCACTCTAACCTCTAACCCTCCGCCTCTCTTTCATCACCTCTCTCTCTCTCTCTCTCTTTGCTTTCTCTCTTCTCTCTTCGTTTCTCTCTCTCTCTCTCTCTCTCTCGTTTCTCTCTCTTCTCTCTCCTCTCTCTCTCTCTCTCTCTCTCTCTCTCTCTCTCTCTCTCTTGTCTCTTCTCTCTAACTCTCTCTCTCTCTCTCTCTTCTTCTCTCTCTCTCTCTCTTCTCTCTCCGCTCTCTCTGGTCTTCTTCTGCTCTCTCCTCTCTCTCTCTCTGTCTTCTCATCACCTTCTTCCTTCTAACCTCCCTCCCTTTTCTCTCATCACCTTTCTCCCTCTAAACCCCTCTCTCTTCTCATCATCTCTTTCATCTAACCCTCCCCCCCTCTCTCTTCCCTCTCTCTTATCACCTTCGTCTTCTACCTCTGCTTCTCATTCACCTTCTCTCTCTAAGCTTTTAACCTTCTTACTCTGCTGCACAGGAGGTGAGTAGAGAGTCTGTCAAAACAACGCCCATGAAGCACCACCTTCTCATCTTCTAACCCTCCCTCTCTCTCTCTCTCATCACCTTTCTCCCTCTAACCCCCTTTCTCTTCTCTCACCTCTCTTTCTCTAACCCCCCCCCTTCTCTCCCTCTCTACTCATCACCTTTCTCTCTCTAACTTTTAACCGTTCTCTCTGTGCACAGAGCCCTGTGAGTGAGAGTCCGTCAAAACACGCCCATGAACCATGAAGCACCACGCCCTCTTCTTTTTCTTTTTTTCCTCTACCCTCCTCTCTACTCTCTCTCATTACCTTCTCTCTCTACTTTAACCTTTTCTCTGTTCGGCAACAGAGCGTGATTGAGAGTCCGTCAAACACGCTCATGAAGCACCACCTTCTCTCTCTAACCCCTCGCCTCTCTTCTCTCATCTCTCTCTTTCTCTCTCTCTCTCTCTCTCTCTCTCTCTCTCTCTCCTCTACCCTCTTCTCTCTTTCTCTCTCCTCTCTCTCTCTCTCTCTCTCTCTCTCTCTCTTCTCTTACCTCTCTCACACTGTCCTCTCTCTCTCTTCTCGCTGGCATGTCTCTCTCTATATACTCTCATCACTTTCTCCTCTAACCTCTAACCCTCCCTCTCTTTCATCACATCTCGCTAACCCCTCTCTCTCTCTCTCTCTCTCTCATCACCTTTTCTCTAACCCCCCTCTCTCTCTCATCACCTTCTCTCTCTAACCCCCCTTTCTCTCATCACTTCTCTTTCTCTCATCACTCTCTCTAACCCACTCCGGATCTCTCTCTATCACCTTCTCTCTTCTAATTCAACGCTTCTCTCTCTCTCGCCATCACAGAACTCAGTGTCAGTAAGAGAAGCCGTCGGGCCCCACGACCCAATAAGCCGGCTTCTGGATCGATCGCCGTGGTCTGACGTCACTGGACGTGAACGCATCGCTGCCAGGAAACCACCACACAGCCTGTCTCAGTGTGACGCGAGCGTTCGCGAACCAACGACGAAAACACATAGGAAACTGTGCGCGAATGACAGCTGAGAATTGAAACATTACCCGACAACGACAGACACACAACGAGAAATGTTACACTGAACCACGCTCACGCTGTGTGGACGACAGCGGACAGTGAAATTTGTCGCGTGAAACAAACAGATGGAACACATATTGAGTTCTCACACAATGAGATTGGGAAACGTTGGAATGTTTCATAAGATAACAACAATAATTCATATATTCACTATATACAATGGATCACTGTTTATGCGTAACAGTGGAAAAACATTAAGTTTACGTGTAACAATGTAATCGTAATAACTACTGATTCTAAATAAGAAGTTGGAAAGTTCTTCGCTCGAACGGTGTAGTGCCCCCTGGTGACAGGCAGCGCGTCTATGGTGTTTCCGCAGGTTTCCGGCTTTGCACTGTGACGAAACTAATAGAGATCTGCGTCGCACTGGATCCGCCGAACTCCCGCGGCAACGACCGGAGGCTTGCTAGCATCCGCTATTGAACATCAGGACAGAGTGAGCAGGGATGCTGTGGATGTCTCTATCTCTCGCTCTCAAAATCTCTCTCACTGTCTCTCTTCTCGCTGTCTCTCTCTGGGTCTGTCATCTCTCTCTCTCTCTCTCTCTCTCTCTCGCTGTCTCTGTTTCACTCTCTCTCTTAATCTCACTTACACAGCACGACACTCACACACGTGGTTACCTCTCTTCCACATGGTCTCTCTCTCTCTCTCTCGCTTGTCTCTTTTGTCTCTCTCTCTGCTCTCTCGCTTGTCTCTCTCTCTCTCTCTCTCTTCTTGATCTCTCTCTATTTTATGTTCTCTCTCTCTCTCTTCTCTCCCTCCTCTATCTCGCTTTCTAATCTCTCTCTTTCTCTTTCTCTTTTCTCTTTTCTCTTTCTCTTTCTCTCTCTCTCTCTCTCCTCGCATCGCTCGCTCGCTGCTCATCCCCTCTTTCTCTAACTTTAAATACCTTCTTTCTCTCTGCTGCACCAGAGCGGATGAGTGAGAGTCCGTCCAGGCACAGCACATGAAAGCATCACCTCCCTCTCTATAAGCCTCCCTCTCTCTCTCTCTCTCTTTCTCTCTCTCTCTCTCTCTCTCTCTCTCTCTCTCTCTCTCTCTCTCTCTCTCTCTCTCTCTCATCACCTTCTCTCTCTCTGCGCACAGAGCGTGAGTGAGAGCCCGTCAGCCACGCCCAAGAAACCGAGGCTTGGATCGACCGCCGTGGTGACGTCACTGGGAGTGAACGCACCGTGCCAGGAAGCCACCACGCAGCTGTTCAGGTGACCGAGCATTCGCGAACCACGACGGAACATGTAGAAACGTTCACGAATGACAACAGAGCATTGAAACGCTTCAGAACGATGACAGAACGAGGAGAAACGTTCGCAAATGACAACGGAGCGTTGAAACGCTTCGGTACGATGACAAAACACCCAACGAGAATTGTTCACGAACCACGTGCGAGTGTGACGACAGGACATTGAAATAGTCTCGAACAACAGTGGAACACATTATTGAAATTCTCACTAATGAGATTGCAACGTTGGAATGTTCATAGATAACAGTGGATCATACATTTACTTATAACAGTGGATCATGCGTTTACACGTAACAGTGAAAACATTTAAGCATTTACGTGTAACAATGTAATCGTAAAAACTATGGAATTCTAAAAAGAAGTGGAGTTCTTTGCTCGAACGTGAGTGCCCCCTGGTGACAGCAGCGGTCTCTTGTCTTCCGCAGGCTTCCGCTTGGCACGAGAACTAAGATCTGTGCCGCACTGGATCCGCCGAACTCCCGCGGCAACGACTGGAGGCTGCTAGCATCCCGCATGAACGTAGACAGGTGAGGCAGGGATGCTCTCTCTACCTCTCTCTCTCTCTGTCTCTCTCTCTCTCTCTCTCTCTCTCTCTCTCTCTCTCTCTCTCTCTCTCTCTGTCTCTCTCTCCCTCCCCCTCTCACCCACCCTTCTATAACTCTCCTCTCTCTCTCTCACTGGTACATCAACTACTTTGCGACCAAACTGAGCCCCACCGACACGATACTGGATCTGTGGGAAGCGCTTCACTGTGACAGTGGCGCCCTCACTGAGCTGGTGGCCATCCTGCACAGCATGAGTCGCGATGACGTCTGCCGAAGCGTCGAGAGCGACCTCGGCTCATGGTTGTGACCTGCCTTCGTCCGGCCGGGGTCAGGGGTCAACGAGGGGGCGCCACCCGCCTTCTTCTGGGGGTCCAGGCGTGATAGGTTTAACTCTGAATCCAAGCGATAGATGTCGCCACGAGTACCTCTGACACTGGCTACGCTAATGCCTTCCTTCACTAACGTGGTGGGTGAGGGAGGGGCACGTATATATAATACACAGAGTGAGCGGGGATATATATATATATATATATTAGAGAGAGAGAGAGCAGAGAGAGAAGAGAGAGAGAGAGAGAGAGGAAGAGATGCGAAAGAGATGAGATGGAGGGAGAGGGCGAGCCTGGAGACAGACAAAGAAAGGGGTGAGAGAAGGGGGGCAAGACTGTGAGAAATACTGAAAGAGCAAAGACAGACTGACGAAAAAAACGAGAAAGAGAATTAGAGCGAGAGAGAGAGCAAGAGAGATGGAGAGAAAACAGAGATTAAGAGAGATTAGAGAGAGAGAAGAGATAGAGAAGAAGTGGGGGGGCAGGGGAGACCTGGTGTGGAATAGTAGTAATATATATATATAGTATAATATATTATATATATATAATGTATATACAGAGGAATTGTGGATTCTAGTTTTTGATGGAATTATGAGAATTGGCACGCTGTGGTAGGGTGTCAATATGCAATACACCACCGAATTTCTTTGTAAAGATTGTTTTTCAAATGTACCGAAGGTGTAGTCTCCCACGTGCATGTGTGCGTCCGTTCCGTCTTTAAAAATCTATAAAGACCGTCGTGCGGCACGTGTAAATATTTGATTATAGGTGTTACGCGTGTCTATCTATGCCTGTAGTTTCGTGATGACGTCCAATGGATGGCTGAATGCGGATGTGAAGAGTGACCGCTTGGCGACTGTGTTTACAGTAGAGGTAATAGTCTTAATCTCTCTCTCTCTCTGTGTCTCCTTTCTCGTCTCTCTCTATTCGCTCTTTATCTTCCCCGACTCGCCCTAATCCTATCTATCTCTCCCACTCTTGGTTTCTGCTCTTCTTCTGCTGGTCTACTTGCTGCTTATTCTGTTGTTGTTGTTGTTAGTTGTTGTTGTGTTGTTGTTCTTATTTGGTTGGCCGAAACATAGCACCCACACGTACACAAAACACAGCGCACACATTTACATTGTGTTGTCTTGATTGACATGTAAATGAATAATAACTTACCCCCCCCCCGTACCCTACAGCTGGGTCATACGCTATGGTGTTTCCGGTACCTATGTGATCCCGCAGTACGACCAGGACTATGTGTCCCGTACCTATGTGTTCCGTACCTATGTGTCTAGTACCCTGGTACCTATGTGTTCCGTGTACCTATGTGTCCCAGTTACCCCAGGTTACCTATGTGTCCCGGTACCGACTATACTGTTCCGCGTACCTAATGTGTCCCAGTACCCGGTACCCTATGTGTAACGGACCTATGTGGTCCCGGTACCTAACGTGTCTCGAAGCCTATGTGTCTCCACGTACCGAGGTACCTATGTTGTCCCGAGTAACCGTATGTGTTCTGGTAAACTATGTGCCCCAGTACCCCAGGTACCTATGTGTCCTGGTACCTATGTGTCCGCGGTACATATGTGTTCAGGTACCTATGTGTTCCTGGTACCTATGTGTCCCGGTACGCTATGTGTCTGGTAGCCTATTCGTGTCCCAGTACCCAGGTACCTATGTGTGCGCGGTACCGTATGTGCTTCGCGGTACCACCATCGTGTCCCAGTACCGCCCAGCGTACCTACCTATGTGTCGCACGTAGCCTATGTGTCCCGGTACGCCTATATGTCCCAGTACCGACAGGTACCTTATGGGCCCCCCTACTAAAAAAAACTTTATTTTTGTTTGCCTGACATAAACACCTAGACCTAATCGCTGAAATCCTTTTGTTGTGTACTGGAAACATAGGTACCTGTGCCCGGACACATAGGACCTGGGTACCTAATGGGACCACAAGAGGTACGCAGGGAATCACATAGTACCCGGGACACATGAGGTACCTGGATACTGGGACACCATGAGTAACCCCGACACACAAGGTACCTGGGTACTGGGACACATTAGGTACCGAAACACATAGGTACCCTAGGGACACATAGGTACTGGGTACTGGGACACATAGGTACCTCGCGGGACACATAGTACCCGGGGACACATAGGTACCTAGTTTGGATACTGTGGACAACCATAGGTACCGGGACACAAATAGATAACCTGGGTAGCTGGACATGGGCCATAGTACCGGGACAGCATACGCCTCGCCTAGGCGGGCATAGGTATGGGCCGGGAAACGCGCATAGGTACCGGACACATATTATGACCCACCCTTCCAGCACCCATGCAAGGGTGTCTAGAAAACGAAGACGTAAGACCGACAGACGTCAAGACCTAAGACCCCTGAAAAAACTAAAGAACGGGAAAACTGAAGACTAAGACCTGAAAACCCAAGGACCTAAGACGCTGGAAAACTAAGACTAAGACGCCTGGAAAGCTAACGACATAAGACGCTGGCAAAACACCGGTCCGGGAACCTAGTTTTCCAGGTCTTACAAGTTTTTCAGGGGTCTACATGCCATAAAATTACAACACGTACTACGAAAATCGTTTTATGTTTTGCATAAAGCAGCCTTTTCATTTAGTTTGTTTCAAGTACCCCGCAAAATTGCTTTCCGCCTTGCGACTGACCGAAATAAAAACAAAGAAGAGGACAAGATGCGATATTATCGAAAGAAGAGAGAGAGAGAGAGAGAGAAGAGGAGAAGAAGAGACGAGAAGATGAGGAGAGAGAGAGAGAGAAGAAGATTACGACGAGAGAGAGACGAAGAGAGAGAGGAATAGCGCGAGAGAGAGAGAGAGGAGAGAGAGAGACAGAAGAAGATTACGACGAGAGAGAGACGAAGA